TAAACATAATTTAAATATATTTAATTGAAAATCAATTCAGACAAATGGAAATTCGCTTAGTCGGCAGGTTGGCTGCGGCGGGGGTATTTAATTCTTGTACTTAATTTTATTGTCTCTAATTTTAAAACGGAAGTGAAAGTTTAATAGCCCTAAATAGCGCTATTACTTTTCGGACCCCATATTAATTGCATTGTTGTCATAACGACTCACTGTGTACCACTACATTGTTGTGGCAAATTTTCAGCATTGTTTTTGTATTAAAATATAAGTTATATATACCGTTAGAAAGGTAATATTCTGACAAAAAAGTGTATGTAAGAAGTTTTCAGCTACGTGTAACGGTATCCATGACACTTAGCAAAATGACTTAAAAAATCTAAATAAAAAACAAAATATTTAATAAAACTATAAATATTCGTAGTATTATGAATCTAAACAATTAAGTAAAATACACCATCGGAAAGGTAATTTTTTCGTGATTAATAATCACTAAACATGTAGGGCACTATTAAAATATGAACCCGAGTTATATAGGGAAATGTAGAATCGTGTCACACAACTTTGGCGGCCATTTTGATTACGTCATCAACACACATAGAGTGCCCGAAAAATTCGTGTCCCGGGCTTTTTGGACTCGTCTACGCATGTACTATCTGAATCTAAAGGGGCGCGTTGGTTGCCGGATGTGAAATATTTTTCAGCTATCCCACCCCACTAATGCTCTTTTAAAAAGAAACTACCAAAGATATTGCGTTACCATGGACATTTTATGAAACTTCAAATGTTAATGAAATAAAAAAAATAATAAAAGTTTTGAAAAAGGGGGAAAAGAATTTGCAAAGTGCTTTTCCTGAAAACGTACGTTTTTAAATTTTCACTCATAGAGGTCTTATATCAATAATTAAGACCACTTAAACTGTAAAACGATTATTTAAAAATACTTTTTTTGTGTTACAGAGCCTAGCCTATTGAAATTGGAGTTTATTGCCTTTCTTTACTTTTAATGTTAACAACGACATTGCTATATATCTTTTAACCATGATAAGTTACTTGTTCTATGAATAACACGTTTCAATGTCAAGAAATCGTCCTTTATTGTCATTATGCATAGGGAAAACTGTGCTTCAACCTAGTTGGTACAGAAAACAGTATTCAGCAACTTATCCTGAAATCGGCTTTTAATTTAAACACGTTGAAATTTGTAATGTAAAAATAACATGTAGGCCTACTTGGCTATGTAACAAGTTGGCTATAGTAGCTTTGTTCTTGCAAGGACTAAACAGATATATTCCTAATAATTGAACTTGGTATTCGTCTTAAACCTTAAACCATAGCCTAGGAATAGTCCAATACAAGAGCTGTTAGCAGGAGCAAACTATGATATTTTTTAAATGTAAGTTTCATGTTATATGGAGATTTTTTCGTTACAATTATCATGTAGTCTAGGCATATCTTAAATCTCATCAGGTAATTTACTCATTGTTAATTTAGTAAACCTTTGAAAAATCTTTGTAATCTAACCAAGGAAGGGCTTGTGATGATGAACCACAATCAACAGCTGAAGCAAAGGTTGATGACCAGCTTTCTCATTATTTTAAGGTTTAGTGTTGGTTTCCATTAAACCCTAGTTAAAACACTATCAATATAACAAAGAAACTAAATTGATTACTAATTTCCCTGTCAATCACTTGCAAGCATTCAATAGCTTGTCTTGTCACTGGTACCGGTAACGTTTAAACGTCGTCTGCATCTAGCGATTTTATTTTATCTGACAGTAATCATAGAGTAGTAATTTAAGGAAATAAGAGCTAAAAATTTGGATAACACTCATTTAATGGCCTCCATGTCCACACAGCGTTGTAATAGGGAATGAAACGGCTGCAACCAGCTGTATGAAGCCAAGAAAGTAGGCCTAATTGTTTTGAAAATCTCAGTTTGAAAGATGTTGTTTCACGTAAGGTTGAGGTTATGGTAAAAATCACTATCTCAAACAATGTTAATGTAGCGAGAAAAGTAGCTAAAATTCCGCTACAACTACTTTAAAAATGTAGCTAGCTACAGCTAAAGCTACAAAATCTTAAAAGTAGCGACGCTACAGCTAACGCTACAAAAAAAGTAGCGCGCTACTTCCCAACACTGCACCCATACTTCTTATGTAGGAGAAGAAGTTTTCCAAGACATCTTGGTTCAGTTTTGATGTAATTATAAATTTAGTATTATATCTTTTCTGTAGATCATCAAACATATCTTTGAGTGATTTATTCGTGATTAGAATTCCTTTTTGGAATGGCAGTAAGGATTTCTTTCCAAATACTAATATGGTTGAAATGAACTGAGACATATTATCCAATATGTTAGTCTGTTTCTCGATCTGAACACCAAATGCACATTTCTCAGGAATCTTGTGATTTGGTATTTGGGAATTAAGTACATCAAACCAATCATTAAATAACCCAATCATTTCAGAAGTGAACTTCCAGTTAGGATCCGTCAATAGACCTATTTCTCCTAAGAATTCCACAGCCTTAGAGGTACAGTTTGACATTAGTTGAGCAGCCAGTTTGACGTTTTGTTTATTTTTGACATGTATGTGGTCACTTTTCAGCTTGAAAGCAACTTTTAAGTCGGAATCTTGAAGCTCCATAATTTCTTTAAGACACTTAGAGGTTATGTGAGTTCCGTCAACAGTAATGAACCCTTGTTCAAAAAGTGATTTCTAGCCAGTTTCAATAGGTGTGGAGCGTCACCAAAAAAAACGTAAATGTTTCTTAATTTGTCAAAAGGATTTGGAAAATAAGTGTTATTTGTAGTTATTCCTAATGAATTCCAAACTGATCGGTTTTCACCGCCCAAGTCGCACGTTACTGATACAATTTTGTATCCAGTTTTTTCAACTGAAGTGATTATCTCATTTAGAGTTCCAAGCGTCATTGGTTTGTCATACTCGTAGTAAACAGGTTGCTTCCACTTTCCAGTTAGTCCTCTGATAAATGTGACTTGCACTTGTTGATGAGGACCAACAATCTGTTCATTTATTTTATCGAAACCCATCCAACCACTCACACTCATTTCGTCAAATGAAAGACATGTGAGTTTTTGAAATTCGGTCATTGTCTTAGCATATTGTTCAAGGACCAGTAACACATGTTTCATTATTCCTGGTGAACATTCAAATTTGGAGGCCCATTTTCTGAGAGTGCTCAAAGCAGGAAGAGGGTAATTTAATTTGCTTCGCATGTAGCGGTAAGCTTTTGCACTTATCGATCTGAGGCTGATGGCGCAAGCATTGTCCTCGTTTGAACAACGGACCCGTTTTTTCGGATTTAATAAAAAATTTTATTTCCTGGTGTAAAGATTTTGGACAACACAGCAGTTCATTTCTCATCTGTATGTTTACACTGAGCATTTACTTCTTTTATTTCTTCGTACAAAAAAGAATATTTTCTAAAACTGTTTTACAAACTAAATATTTCATTTCTTGTTTTAGTTTTTCGTTTTCGTTTTCTAGGTGTTCAATTTTTTGTGACATTAATCTCAATTTTTCTTGCAAATCGTCAATTTCAATAGGTAAAGTTTGGTGTTGGATCTCGAGAAGGTGCCATAGCACCGAATCCAATAGTGCCGAATCATGTTTTTAGTCCAAATTTGCCAAATTTCACGTTCGACGCTGTTGGGTTTTAAATTCCAATAGCGCCGAAAGAGATGTTTGTGTAACAGAGCCGAAATATTTATTTTAAAATCCAACACCATCGAACGAAAACTAAAAATGTGTAAGAGTACCGAATTTAGAATCATTCCATTAGCTCCGAAATCAAAATAAATCCAACAGTTCCGAATCCCAACGCTTTAAATTGTTTCGGCTCTATTGGACGTTTGAATCTTTCTTTCGGCGTTGTTGCACGATTTTGCAAACAAAATCCTTGACAGCCGAACAATAGAACCCCCACCAATCTTCTCCCACAACTCAATCCAACTGTTTTTCGGTTGGCTGATCTACACCCAATGAAGTTTCAAGAATGCATACGCGGCCATCGGTGTCACCTCCACCACTGCCCAGGGGTGACGCCCAGTAGAATCGTCCCGGTCACTGCTGCCCCTAGCGGAGTTCTCTGGATCTAGGCTAGGCATACATGCTATACTAGAGTGGCAATCCCTATCCTTTAAACAGTAGAGGACACATGTGCTGAAGCCACCTTCTGTGTTAAGCAGAGATGCAATTGACAACTCCACTGCCCGCGGCGACCACAATATTTTTAATTCACCGTGATTCATTAACACCGTCAAAACGGTCACTTATAGTTGAGATAAAATTCTGAATTTTGAGGTATTAAATAACACTATATCACCTTAGTAATATTGTTTTCGAATTATGTAAATTGAAATTTTAATCCATTTGAAAAAATATATAAATATATAGCAAAACAAGGTTGTATAAAATTTGAGACATGAAAAAGTTGGTCTGCTGATAAGTTTTTAATTTTTTGGTCAGGGGATTTTTGTCAGCATTTACATTTTGCAACCCACCCTGCTGGGTGAGAGACACTCACCACAACAGAATGCTTCCATCACCACATTGGTATGTTGACAGGTAGTGTGTGGAGCAAGGTGCTAGAATTGGGGTCCCAGGACTCTTCTGAGTCTACCCTGTGTGTCATCCCCACCCTGCTGGGCGAGAGACACTCACCACAACAGAATGCTTCCATCACCACATTGGTATGTTGACAGGTAGTGTGTGGAGCAAGGTGCTAGAATTGGGGTCCCAGGACTCTTCTGAGTCTACCCTGTGTGTCATCCCCACCCTGCTGGGCGAGAGACACTCACCACAACAGAATGCTTCCATCACCAACATTGGTATGTTGACAGGTAGTGTGTGGAGCAAGGTGCTAGAATTGGGGTCCCAGGACTCTTCTGAGTCTACCCTGTGTGTCATCCCCACCCTGCTAGGTGAGAGACACTCACCACAACAGAATGCTTCCATCACCACATTGGTATGTTGACAGGTAGTGTGTGGAGCAAGGTGCTAGAATTGGGTTCCCAGGACTCTTCTGAGTCTACCCTGTGTGTCATCCCCACCCTGCTAGGTGAGAGACACTCACCACAACAGAATGCATCCATCACCAACATAGACCCCGGCAACCTGGGACTGGGTCAGGTCTTCAAAGCCATCTGTCGGGGAATCATAGAGAACCTACACAGGTAGGCTCAATGTAGACATAGTAAACTAAGTGGTAGTTAATTATTTGTATGTGTTGTGATTTTGAATTTATAACCCCCAGTTTGCCCACTTTTTGGAGTAAACAAGTACTAATTATTTCCTTTGTAGAGATCCGTTATGGGTCAGTTTTGAATTTATTATACTGCTCATTTGTTCCTTTATTGTAGTTTATCATTATGAATTCCACAGTTGCACAATCTATGTTTTGTTCATGAACTATTCCGTAATACATACCTATGAATTCTGTTTGCCTCTGCACTTACTTCAAGAGAAAGATATGATACAAAATCAGATGTTTAGGGTGAAATAAAAAATGTTGAGTTTATATCCTTGCAAGTGAGATTTAAACTTTTATGAGATTGGCCTGTAATGTTTTATTTTGGTGTTGGATGATCAGGAGGACAACGCAGAGTTATCCTAAAAGTTGGCAAGATTCTCAAAACACTCTTAACGAATGTGAGCACGATACAGCTCCCAGAGTACTGGGCCTTTTAGTTAAATCAAAACTGAAACTGGCTTAAAAACATACAAAATAAAATAATTAATTAGTTAAAACCATGGAATAGTTTTTGTATCACACCTGGATTTTATCAGCTCCTGAGCACTCCTGGGAAGAAATTTTAGTTTGGCGTGTTGTAGGGGTAGGCCTAGCCTGTTTTGTAAATACAATCTTATTCCCCCCCTGGAGTTAACATTGCAAATCAAAAGTAAATTAAGATGTAATTTGATGTATCAATTTGAGAAATACTGCAAGATTTTTACATAAATAAAGACATTTTATTGCTTCCAAGACACAATGTTGAAAACACCTATTTTGCATTTTTATCAATGCAGTATGATGCCACGTGAGATGCTGCTCAAGGCCAACATCTCCAGAATCCTGGGGATAGGTTCGGCACTCACTCGCAACCCAGTGCTGCAGAGTGAGGTGCGGCAGTGCTACCAACTGCCTGTAGTGTTTGTCCCCGGAGGTGACGCAGCCTGGGGGGCAGCCATGGCTGTCAGCAGAAACTAGACACCTACCTCCCAATATGATTTGACTCGACCTCCAAAAGAGGGTGCTGCTAACCTTTACATGCTGAACAAACTTCCCACTGTTACTTCCAACAACCACTGCTGGTTTGAGCAGTAAGTGGGGCCAAAATTGGTGTAAACTTTACTACATTTTTAAATGGCACATTTTAACCAAGTTAAGTTTAATTCATTTTCGGTAATGAACTGGAAATAATTTTTTGGCCAAACTCAGGTCGGGTCGAGCTGAGCTTTTACTTTTGCAATCCCTGAGATCTGCAAAGATGTGCATTCCAATTTTGTCAATTTTGGTAAAATCGTGGTAATGTACTGTATATGGTTTATGTTCACGATTTTGCCAAAACCGCTGAAGAGGTAGTTTTTGCCATGCCTGTGGAAGACGTTGATGATTTCACCAATGCTGCAGATGTTGTCCTTGATTTTGCCATTACTGCAATTAAGTATTCGTTTATTATTTCATATTTTCATAAATCAATACTTTCAAATCAATCTGATTTTGAACTGACCCAATTTTGGCTCAATACCAGAGATCCATTATTTTTTAACAGATCCAAATAAATAAAAATAAAATCTGGCCCTCAAATCCCTATTGATAATTTAATACAGTATAATGTAGTCAAACAGAGTAAAGTAAAGTTATAACAGATTCATAAGGTTTGATGAAACACTTTTATACCTGTACACGGTATAATATTAGAGAAAGGAATAGGTAAAGATACAGTTTGACTAAAACCATTAGTCTCAGATAACTTTATTATATGACATTTCTAGTCTTGACCTTGATGAATTTTTTAAACCTTAATTTTTTTTGCCAGTACTTAGTCTGTATGTATTTCCATTATACACCATAGGTACTCTTTAAACAAAAACAAGTACAACAATACTGCTAACAGAATTCTTGACAACCTTTGTAAGTGTGATATCGGAATAAGTAAAGGTATTTTGAATATGTAATGTTACCTATGAGCAGAGTATATGATTTGTTTATGACGATGTTAAGCAACCAGGGAGTTGAGGGGTTTCATATATTTGATGTCCTTTACTGGCTGCACCCATACACTAACCAACACAAGTAGACATCTCATCTTATTGTAAACTTTGAAGCTTGTTTTTTGTGTCTAGTTCATGTATGATGACACTGGGCGCTAGTGTGGACAACATTTTTTTTTTATTATTTTAGGGCTAACTTCTTGATTTGTGCTTTACTGTTTGGTTATATCACTAGGGAAAGAGTTATTGTTTATGATTAGATCGTATTATTTGGTTAAACGAGGTTTTAAATGACTGAAATAACAAGAAACAAATTGTAAACAAAACACGACCTCTGCAGTACGCTGTACAGCGCTAACAATAAAATTGTCTTCAGCTGTTCCATATGGATGAGAAATCTACTAAGGGAGTGTGTTTTATCCATGCTGCAGCTCTGTTTTTTGTTGAGGTCAGTCAGTGTCATGGCCACTGTCAACGTCTGCAGTTGATTGTTAACTGAGGAGGTACAGATATATTTTCCTCTTCAGATATTTCCCTCTTTTTGCTAACTAAGAAAAATATACTGCATTTGGAACATAAGCAGTTTTATTTTTACTGTAGTACTTTTAAATAGAGAAGATTTTTTTAAACTTTAGGGTACTTGATTTTTTTAACCCAATATAAAATATTAAACATCAAATTTAAAAATTCATATATTTAGAACACGTGTTTATCCGTAAAAAAGAAATGTATAATTTTATTGTAGTTCATAAAGTATATACATTTATTTTACATTATTCATTAGTAAAATTGTTGTTTTACTAATTTTAATAGGATTTAATACTAGGATTAATTTATCATTGTATTCCTGAAAGAATTGAGAAGTAGCTTTAAAACTAGTTTAGGAATTGTATGGAGTGCACAAACTGCATGGTATGTTGTCAGTATTTAAAAGCACTTATACTCTCTATTTCCACAATGTGATTAATAGTAGTAAATCTGGAAGCTTTGAGTGATGTAGAAGTAATCTCTAGTTATTCATGAAATACAGTATTGGAATTATTTTGACTCAGCATTTGTAACAAAAGTAAACACAATGTATCAAATATATATTTATACACATTAGCTTAGATTTAGATTATAAATTACTGTCATTTATAGTTTCAGCTTTCAGTTTGTCAAAATTACGACCAACAGTTTTTATGTTGTGGAACATGGGTGTAACCATAGATTATGTTGTATAACGTCGCTTTTATGTTCATAATTTTGTTTGCAGAACCTTTCAATGCAATATTGAAATAATATGCTTTATTGCAACAGTCTCAACAATTTTTCACAAACTGCCGTGAGAAATAGATGTGAATGAATAATAATTTATCATGTAATATATATTTTTTTTTTTTATCTAAAAGTTAAGGCTGTTGATTATCTATGAATCATGACAAACTGAAGGGTGATTTGACTTTCTGTGAATGTTGGTTTTTTCAATTCAATAAATATATTTTTAGGACATATTTGCTATGAAACAAATCTATTTAAATTTTTTATCGACCAAAACAGTGTAGACAAATAAAACATTTTCTAAAATTCTTTTGATAAGTATTTTTGAAAGTGAGCATTTAATCAAATTTTAGCTAAATATTTATATATTCAACTGTATACCTCGAGTAAACATTCCAATTTCAATGTTACCCTTACCTACTTCACATTCTTTACTTTTCTCTTTACTAAGGATATACTACTAGGATTAATTGGTTTTAGGACCAACAATTGCGTGATTTTCTTTTATTTAATTTTATGACGTGAACAATAATCCTTTTAAATTTTCTTAGATTGACATATTTATATTTTAATTTACCAATATGCCTCTAGTCAGAATGTTGAACAATGTAAATTAATACTCTGTATTTTCAACCATTAGAATTATTGTAGGCCTAAGAGAAATTATCTAATTTTATATTCAAGGTTATCTGATAAAAATGTAGGGTATTTGCCATGAATCATTAAAGAAATTAGCAGGAAAGCAGGCTTACCTTTAAATAAGTCCTTAGAGACACATAAATTATACAAAACAAAAGTAGAAATGTTCAACCACTGGAGAAATGGCAATGGCAGTTGCAATTTGAATCTATTTCACCTTGTCAGGGTTGCTATTTGCTAACACAGCTCAAGAGACTAAACATTGTTTATACTGTTGCATATGTTTAATATTGTTCACTCATTATGAATAATCCACTTTGTTTATACTGTTCTATATTTACACTAGCCTGCTATGAAAGGTGAGGAATGGTGATTATCTTATATTAAGGTTTGGTGGGTTTTTAGAGTGGGTGAACCATTGGTAGCTTAATTCCCATCTTCTCAGTTCTGAGTGGTTGCAGTTTGGAGGCAGCTGTTTTATTATTTTTGAAGAAAAACAGCAATTGAAATCAGATTTAGAGTGTGATGAGACATGGTTGACTACTGGTTCGTCTTTATAATTGTTTTTTTTTTTACATCTTGACGATGACCGTTCATTCTGGTACGGAACTGGTTCTTTGTTAGGCCTATATACTGAGCTGGGCAGTTATTACATTGAAGCTGATACATTACATTGCTTGTGCTGCAGGTGTTGTGTCCTTGAATCTTGAAAACTTCATTTGTGGCGTTGCTGGAAAAACTTGTGGTGGGGAGTTTGATGGGACACGTTTTACATCTGGAAGTATTAGATGGGAAAGAGCCGTTTGAGGGTTTGTTTCTGGTTGCTGTCATTGGATCCGGTATCTTAGGATGAACAAGAATCTTTGTGATGTTAGGTAGTTGGCGAAATGTGGTGGTTGGGGGTGTTTTCAGGAAATCCTTTGTTTGTGGGGAAGCTTGGAGAATTTTGAATACATCTTTCAGAATGCAGTTGAGGGATTGTAGACCCTGGTGGTGTTCAGTTTTTAGGTTTCATTTTTGGGGTGGTTTCTGTTTCTTTTTTTAGGGTTGTTTGATTGGGCTAATCAGATTTGGTTTTTTACAAGGTTTTTGGGATAGCCTCTTTCAACGAATGTGTTGGAAATTTTTGAATTGAAATTGGAGAGTTCCTCTTCTGGTGAGGAATACGTTTGGCTCGGATGCCTTGGATATACGGTATAGATCTTTTGGTATTGGCTGGATGGAAACTGTCAAAATGTAAGTATTGTAGGTTATTGGTGGGTTTGATATGAATGATAGTGGTTATTCATATCAATTGTATCAAATCAATTCATATAAATTCATATCAATTATTCAACCAATTGAATAATGTACTTACATTATTCAATTGGTTGAAAAAGTGGTTAGTGACCTCGATAATTTCTACTTTTTTGTTGTATATTTTATGTGTCTCTATGGACTTATTTAAATGTAAGCCTGCTTTCCTGTCAATTTCTTTAATAATTTGATATTCAATAAATTATATTTTTTAGACAAAAACAGTATTGGTCCAAGCAACATCTAAAAACAGATGGTTTGGAACCAACAAATTCAAATACTTTATTACTTTTAATATTTTTCAATGAAATGGTGACCATACAAAGTAGGTCAGTTTATGTGAGGATGTGGACAGACATGATAGCCTGAATAGTCTTATTTGTAGTATTTTTATTTACATTTTATATTTTTTAGATCACTTGAAAAAACCTCAACTTTGAACCATTTGAATTTACTTATTGGGTCTTTAAATAAATTAATATTCTTCAAGTTATTTCTGTATAATAAGTCAGTGTTAAGAGCTTAAGTTATTCAGTATAACTGGGTGAATAATTAAATAAGCTGTGATAAATTAATCTGCAAACTTTCTGTCTCTTTACCCAATTAAAATGTTTGTCAAAAAATGATTGTGACCGCATAGGCATCCAAAAACAAAACAATAATAGCGAGCTTGTAAAGATAGTTTATTTCTGTTCTCAATATGTTGATTGATGTAAACACTTTAGAATCTAAGTAAATTGGATGTTAATGTTAAGTTTGTATCACGCTAATGAACCCTCCCCCTCTACGTCTTACACATAGATGTATTTGGATAAAAAATCCACCCAGACAGTTTAGAGTTAACGTAACACTGATTCTTCTACCCACCAGCACTAATGACGAAAACAGGCGTTAGAAACATAAATTAAAAATTTATTAAAACGTGCAATGATTGCATTCATTAAACAGAAAATATTGATCTTCATCAGATCAGAACTAAATAATTGGTGTAAATACCTGCATTTATGTGATCAATGTGTTGCTAAATTTCAACCGGTTTCGACTCTCAAAGGAGTCATCGTCGGGCCAGTACAGATGTCTTCTTGCTTCATTCGAAGGTCTTCAATTCATAATAAATAAATACATTTTACACGCACACGTACACGAACATAAAAACTAACATCTTGGGCTAAAAACGAAGGGTAATACTAGAACAGTAACGGAAATACGGACACGGTAAATACACATAAATGCAGGTATATATTTACACAAATTATTTAGTATTTAAATGTGATCAGGAGGCTAAAATTCAATATAATGATTTTTTTATAGTTCAAGACTGGACCCCTGCTGTTATTCATCATTCAACTTGCAGTAGAACCTCTTTAATCCGAACTAATTGGGACCAGGGGTAGTTCAGACTATTTAATAGTTCGTATTACAGAACATATTGTTGTTTTTAGATAAAATTTAGCTCAAATGTGACTAAAATGGATCGTAGTTTTTACGGGAAAAGTGAAAAATGCTTTATAGAGTAAAAAACTGTGTTTATTTAATACAGTAGTAAACATAGTGAATAAACCGTTACAGTAAAATTACAATAGAAACAATTACGGTGTCTATATATTACATAGAAAATTTCTTTTTATAGCCCTATTAATCCATCCAATAATCAAGCTTATTTGCAACCAGCACTAAAGTTGGTGGTATGTATTTATCTACAAAAACAGTTTCAATAATAAAGGGGAAAAAATTACATATTGCAAGATCTGGTGACTGGTGAGGGAATTTAATAAACTTGGCTTTAGCCCTTATATTATGTAATCAACCAAGAGTAAAAAAAATTAAACTTAATTCATATTAAATACACACCATTAATAAAGGATTGTATTGCATAGATTTAGTAATGTATTAATAAAATCATGTAAATAAGAAACATAATGTACTTGTTAGAGATTTGTTTCTGTGACTCTATTCATGTATGTATGCACAGCTTGAATAAAGATTATTTGATTTGATTTGATATTAATAAATACAGTATCCAATAAAGAACTACTGTACTGTGTATAGAGTACATCAATGAGACGTTCGGATTAGTGGACTTTCGGATTACGGGGGTTCGGATGAAAGAGGTTATACTGTATATTATTATAAATGGTCCTGAACTTGGTTTTAGTAACAAAGCTGTAATTTCATCCATTCAACAAACATTCTTCATTCATAGCTATGTAAATGATATGCAACCAGGTGTTTATTACATAAATATAATTGATATAAATATGCCTTCTTAGTGTGTAGGTCTATATTTTTTATGTTTTGGCTCAGCATTTTTGTTACACAAAACACAAATACGTCACTAGAATGCTGAAGACCCTTAACTTGATTTTTACTTCACATCAAAATGTAATATATAAAGCCTAGCAGATAGGTAGTTCTCATCAAAGTTTTGATTGTGAAAGAAACTAATCTG